TGTGCCACTTTCAAACGGCCACCCGAACAATGCGTCTGCGTTGCCCTGAGCGCCTTCTACTCGTATTACCGTTGTTACCTGCACGTCGTTGACTGCGGTTGGTTCTAACATTGCGACGACGTACACGTTGTCTGCGATTACCACCACGCTTACGTTTTTGCTGTTGCTGCAGAAGTTGTTGTTGCAGGCGGCGCATGCGTTGACGCTGCTTCTGGCGACGACGTCTATTCAGCTGTTGCCGACGGCGTCGTTGACGTTGCGCCGCACGACGTCGTTGCGACTGGCGACGACGCGTATTTGTCGTTGCACGCGTGCGAGTTGATGCGCGTCCATTTTCCGTTCCGGGCACGTTTTCTTCATCTTCAATTGCTACGCCGTTGATGTCGTCACTCTGTTCGTCGGCATCATCATCGTTTGATTCAGGATTTACGATTTCATAATTGTTACCAAGTCGTAAAACAATATTAAAATCGTCATCTTCATCATCATCACCGATTTCGCTGTCGTAAAGGCTTTCTTCTGATGGATATGAACGCGATGCATTTCTTGTTACTGTTGTTATTGTGGTCGGTGTTGTAGCCGATGTTGTAGGCGATGTTGTAGTTGGTGATGTCGATGATGTGGTTGGGGAAAGAGTAACTACTCCTGTTGTGGGACTCGATGGAACAAATGTTGATGTTGTAGTAACTGTGGTAGTAGTTGTAGATGTTGAACCTTTCAACGAAGTGATTCTGTTAAGCAAATCCTGTGAAATTACGCGGCCGGTACCAATATGATCATGGGTGCGTCGACCTCTGTTCGCGCGCTGTTTATTGAAAAGTTGGTAGCTGTGGTCAGATCCTTGCGGGTTGCCTGTAATTCAATTGGCATAACTGTTATAATTGCTTACACAAAAGTATTGGTTTGGTCATCTTACCAGATGCTTGCAGCGCGACGGCAGCTAAGCCAAACGCGAAGAGGGCTACTTGGAAGAAATGCATTTTGTGTTAGTATACTGTGTCGCTCCTCACTCTGCCAGGACACTATGAGGTAAGCTATTTGTTAAACTAAAACCAATCGTTGAAAAAATATTTATTCTACAAATATTTTTCTTGTAATCTTACGTTACTCCAAATGCTTGGAGCTCACTGATCGATAAGGCCTACGACCGCAATATTTATACGTTGACCCATGACAAAGCCTACCAAGGGCCAAAATTCTAATTAGTTCTTGTAGGCCTATTCAATATTCGCATATTCGCACAAACAACAGCATGCATAATTAGCAATGGGCTGGTGTAAAAGTTACAAACAACAACGTTTAACCCATCTTACTTGGCTAAAGTTACAGAACATTGTAAGCGAATTAGCATAAAACACATACTTACTAACTTACACACTTACACAGATACCGAAAAGTTAAAACATTTGAATAATTTACGCTTAGGCTTGAAAGAAATTAGCCTAATCAGCTTTCTTTTTTTTTGTATTACTGCGCCAAAAACTTAGAATCGACGCTGCTTCTTAACGTTGTCAAGGCAGCCAAAAGGGCTTATTAATTTACAACTATTTTGAAAGTATGCAAAGGTATGTTTGTATGTACGCTGTCCCTACCAGAACAGACTGGGTAAATACTCAGGTAGCTTTACCTGGTGTATTAGGTAAGGTTTCTATAAATTTCTTAAATTTTACCGTTTTCTCCTGTACATTTTTGTGTACGTTTGAGATTTTGTTCTTATCTAACACACTGGAAAAATAGGTAAGCACTTCACGAGGTAATCCATGTTTTCTTTCACTTTTTAGTACCAAAATTGTCATCATGACCAATGTCATCTACTAGTAAAGCACAAAATGAACACCTCCGACGACAAATTACGCTGCCACTTGCAAAATAGCGTGCCACACAAGTTATGTCCAAGCGCCGAACTACTGTGAGCGACTGCTCTACATTCTACGTCACTTACTTTGTAAAACGGTTCAGAAGTATGTCTTATACCAAATGTAAATTCTTACTTATATAAGGCGGCCACGCCTTTGTTAAAGTAAGGGAGATTCGGCAGGGAAGTCCGGGAAGTAAGGACCGCCGGGTGAGATGCAATACCTTACCAGCAACTTACAACTAGGAGTATAGGGCAAATTGTTCTGGTAGGGGTGTTTAAAATTATGTATTGCAAAGAAATTAGTCACAATTGTGGAATTTATTTATTTATTAATTCAAGTGAATTGCTCATTTAGCGAATTTGTTAAATATGAAAGAGTAGCGGACGCGACGAATTGCGTCCCGCCTAAAACTGATTTCTTTATTCAAACATTTGGTACAAAGTTTTCACCACAATTCACGTTCACGTTTGGTTTTGTGGTCGTCAGAAAGCATCTCCCAAATTGCCGTCTTAAATAACCTAACGGAAGCGTTATGTCCGTGAAGAAGTTCTTGTGGCAACTATGATCCGGTTTGATCGTGAATCGTCCTTGAATCTGTATAGAAAATAGAAGTACCATAAATGTCTTACAATTGAATTTGTAGGCATTCACCTAGAATTGTCTTTATTTTGTTGTTATGTCTTTTTTTGTTTAGTCGCCGTAAAGCAATGACTGCAATGGTTATGGAGGTATATTTAACGGTGGTAATTTGATTTTGATCCCTGGTGTATCTGAATGACTTCAACGGCGATATTTTAACAATAACTCGACTCCAGAGCCACCTTTCGGCTCTTTTATTTCAATAGTATTGCCCTTATTGGTACTAATACACATCTCGATTATGAGACAAATCGGACCATAAATACGATTTTTAGTAATAACTCCACTCCAGAGCCACCTGGCGAGCTATTTCCCCTTTACGTTGTCAATACGTATTTTGAATATTAGCCAGATCAGATCATAAATACGATTTTTAATAATAACTCGACTCCAGCGCCACTCGAGGCTCTAAATTGTGAGCCTAATTTATACAGGGACTTTAGGACAAACATTTTATTAAAGGAGTTCACTCGCAAACACATGTACGGAAGAATTATATGTATATCTATTTACAGATAGGTAAAAGTTTCAGTATGTTTGGAAGGCGCCATGCCCTCTTTTCCAATAGCCCCCACTTTTCTCCAAGAGAAAATTGTTTTGAGTGGTGTATAGTGCTCTTGACGCACTTACGCACTTACCGTCACTTTGTGTCTTCATACGTGTGAACGCCTTAAAAGCCACCTACAGACTAAAAAGAAACGGATGTTGGTATAACTCTCCGTGGGGCGAGGCGGAAATTTCTGGCGGCAGAGATTTGAGCATTTGTGTTTATTCAATTCCACAAGATTGTACGCCACCATTACCTTTGTTGAAGGGATTCTATAATGTTCAGTTCCCTGATGCTGAGCACTGAGCCAGGACTCACACATTACTGATGGCTGCAGAACTGACGCTGGGTCAGGATCTGGGGTATTTTTCGAAGTCAATGGTAATAAGCTTCACTTTTCTCCAGGCTGAAGTATATGCAATCCTCAAAGCCATGAACTACGTGGTGGAAAGGCATTGGCCAGCGCTCTAACTAAGTACTTTCAGACTGGTTCGGAAATGCAAGTCTCTATTAAATTAAGTTGGTAAACATAAGGAGCTTGCTTTACTCTAGGTGCTAGGTCACTCGGGGGTACCTGGTAATGAGACATCTGACCATTTGCCCATAGTTGGCTTAGACCAGGCATTCGTTGAACCGCAACCAGTTATAGCATTTATTATACACAAAAACAATTCTATGTAGCGTTTACGAATTTCCAAAAAGAGTGTTTTCGTGAACCACTATGATTTATGTGTATTTATCTTCATGTAATTAAAAAAAAAAACACCCAACATAGTTCACTCCAAGAGGAGAAATTTTATTTTGATCAGCCCATAGTTCGGTGCCGCTGAACCGCTCAGAAATCCCACTCATATGTCCCTCATTGTGTGATTTTAGAAAATTGTCCTGGTGTTCTGCTTTTTTAATGGGGGTCAATGCAGACTACCATTTAATTTTTGGCAGATTTTTCCTATAAAAAGGCTGAGATGTCAGTTATTTTAAATCTAAAATCGATAACGAAAGGTTTTTCCAACGTATTGAACAATGTCGGGTAAGTGTACCTTCTTTCTGTTTAGTTTATTTTGTTGAAATCTTACTTTTATATCTTCAGGCGAATCCCAAAAAAGTGGAAGTTCCAGAACTGGTACACGGCTAAAGTGTCATACATACTACCTAGTAGATAATTTCAGGAACTAAATTATCTTCTAACAGACCTTTCTGAAAGTCATTCCTTTCTACTTTATTTTTTGTAAGAAATAGCACAAATTGTATATGAATTACGTCAAATATCCTTACATTGGGAGGATTTTCAAAAGGGAACCACGTCTTAATTTGAAACTCCCCCTTCGGAGCCTTTAAGTTTTTAAGTAATTCGTTGTTAAAGTGGTTTTGCATCCAACTCCGTTCTGCTTCAAAAAAATATAGAATGTTAGCAGCGCAGAGTTTATATCTAGGAGTGAATGGGGTCAAAAGTATCGTGGTGAGAACAAGATTTCGGAAAGCGAAAGCTCACCGAGCTTTTTCGAAGGATAGATAAAAGGTATACAGTCGGTTTGTGAAAAGAGCTAAACCAGCATTAACAGCGCCAATCAAGAAGAAGAAACCGGCTACTAAGCTCGCCTGAGGAATGCCACAATGTGAATATATCGTGGCTACCATGTCAAACTATCCAATGTGAAAATGGGTACTTTTCAGGAGAGCAAAAAAGCAGTTGTAAAAAATGTTGTTGTCATTATGAAAACGTGTTAAAGCCAGTATCCTCTGCTTCTAAGAAAACTAGAAGTTTGACGATTTTCCAACTTGCGTATCATTCTAAACGTATGCGCAAGGTATCGTAAGTGAAAAAGCATTTTCGCACATGAAAAAGTTGAATTAAAAAACCACTTTGCGTTTTCAATTTAATTTTATTTTCCTTATGAGTAATTTACTAAATTTAAATAAATTAATTAATTTAACATTTTTTCGTGACTTAGAATTTACGAGCTTGCTTCGGGTGCCTTATTATCAACAATGACGAGCATTTGAGGCACTTTGGCACCTTTAAATCGGTAAGAGTTTACATCCCGCTGCTCACCGTTCACATAATTTCGGCCTCTGTAGCTGTTCCTATTCGTGCGCTTCCTTTGCGATGTTCTCCGTTTGGTTTGACTTGAACCCTTCTGCGAGGATGTGCGACGCTTTTTGCCAGCGTTTGTTCTCTTTGGACTTTTACTCCTTGTTTTCTTTGTGCTTTGGCTGCTACCACCACGACGACGCTTATTACTAGAATTGGCAGGACGATATTCATCGTTGCCTTGTTCATCTTGCCTGCGTACGGATTTGCGGCGTTGATTGTGACGATGAGCGCTATTTTGACGATTGGCAACATTCCGTTTATTATGAGTGCGACGCACATTGTTGTTAACGTTGCGACGACGCACACGCTTGCGCCGACGAATGGCACGTTCTTCAGCCTCTAGTTCATCATTTTCGTCGTCATAAAATTCGGCAGCGCGTTGCTTACCAGCGTATTTTTGTGCACGATATACCTGATAGTTATGGAAACTCTCTAGCTGACGTGCTAAACGTGACTTAAAAATAGAAAAGAAGTACATAAATTTGTATATACATACATGTAAGATTTGTTGTTTATGAAAAATATTCGTTGTCTCTGAAAACTCACCATGCCGGGCTGCTTCAGTACTTCGGCGTTTATTGCTAGCTCAAGATTTTCTTTTTTACTATCCTCGGTAGGTTCCTGTTCAGGTGCAGATTCCTCTGTTTTGCCAACATTTTCATCCGGCTTATCGTTCACTTCCACGGGTAAAATTGGCACTTCGGACAATTTCGGATTGACTGGCAATGGCTCAGCAAGGTCTATGTCGGCCTGTGGCTGAGGTAATTCAGGAGCCGCATCATCATTTCTTGCTTCAACAATCGCTTCGGCAGCGGATAGCTCTTCTGAAAGATGAACAAGAAAGAGGTGAAAATTAATTAGCTGTGCCAAGTCGGTTATCTACGACAACGTACCAGCTCCAATGCTGCTTAGCAATGAGGCAGCGCACAAAAGCGCTAGCAAACCGCACAAGCTGGACTTGGCCATTTGTATGTCAACTTCGTTATTGCTTTTGGTACTACTTCAGCACACGTTTGCTTGTCAAAAAGGTATGCGATTGAAAGACGCGCTGTTGACGCTCTTATATCGCCATTTGCAAAAGTAAAACTATTTCCAAATAGTGTTAAGCTGGGTGAGGAATAAGGAGGGAAAGTTTAGTTTGAAAAGCATTTTGTGGCTTGTGTGCGAGCGTTTCACTAAGCCATTGTGATTGGTGCGCGATATTATCATATTCCAACAATCGATTAAACACAAGATTTACGACGCTGATGCATCTTTTTTAGCGAATGCTTATAATAATCAACAATTTTTTTTGCAAAACTTATAACTCCTTATGTGGTGAAATTAACCCAAATAAAAGCAAAAAGATAGCCGCAGAATCTATCGCGCAAGCAAAGATGTTGCTTAGTAAAGGTGATACACACCAGCGTACATGATTAATGACACGAGCGGTTGACACGAGCGTAGAGACTCTTTTTGTGATGCTGCTTTCTTCCACAAACTATGCATGTCGATGAAAGAAAGAATGAGAAGAAAGCGACTGAAAGAAATTGGTGTACTATTTTATATATCTGTGGCCATAAGCGATAGCTCCCTAAGTCGTCTTAATAAATAATTGCGTTATATATGCTATCGTACTCCGCAATTACTATTCTTTGCGTATGTGAAATCCCCATCTCGCCAGCTATTAAAAAGTTATAGATGACACTGTTTTCATTTTAAAAGTCTTTTTCTCGAAATCAGGTTTTTCGATTTAGGCGGTTATTGCTTGTGACCACGAATATTTTCTACCTAAAGTATTTTTATTTTTATTTTGTTTCTTAGTTAGGTATGCAATTCCCAATCTTATCTATCCCTGTTCTATTTACTTCATTAGCCTCCCTTCCTTTCGTTTCTTTTCCGTTCCCTCTCTTCCCTTTCTTTCTTTTTTTCTCAACTTATCTCCCTTTTCTCCAAGTAAAAAATTCCTTTCTTTTCTCTTTCTGCCTTTAATTTCTTCTCTTATTTTTCCTCCTTTTCCTTTTCCTTCTCTTTCTCTTTCCTTTCCCCTTCCAATCCCCTCCCCAACCATGCGTTCCTTTTCTTTCCCTTCATTTCCTTTCATTCAATCCAGTATTTTGTCATGTGCTCCCAAAATTAAAATTAAGATGTTTTTTTTTTGTTTTCAAAAATCACATAACATTTATTTATCGTTTATTCCTTTTCCAATATCATACATTTCGTTCCGAGTAATCGCCGATTTTCTCTAATCTATAATACTAAGAATTGTTGTTCCATTGGGCTTTCACTCAACCCTGCAGCACAACAGGACGTCCGCCACGACGGCTACCACGTCGACGTGTTGCACCACCCACCTGATATACGCGCACATTCTGGCGCCTGTTACCGCCACGACGACGACGACGATTACCTCCTTGTCGACGGCGGTTGCCACCTTGTCGACGCCGCACATTGCGTCGCGAACCCTTGCGGCGACGACGTACTATAACACGATTGGCGCGCGCCTCCTCAGATTCGTCGGCGGAACTCTCCACCAACGCCACAACACTTCCATCGGGTATGGCCTCGAGTGCGGCACGTGGCACCAACAACGCCGTCTTGCCGGTTTTCTCATCAACAACACTTTGTCCCTCGATCTCAATGAAACCATCGGGTACCATAATAGCTCCGGCGTGTTCACGTGACACCATCATATTCGTCGGTTTGGCATTCTTCAGCACAAGTTGAGCATTGAATTGGCTGGCGCGATTACCAAAAGTGGAGCTCTGCACGGGGTTTTGATTTTTCAATTGACTGCGCAGACGGGGTGAGTGCGGCACACGCGAACGCAGGAATACGATATTACTGGCTACATCATTTATATCGTTTTCATTCTCATCATCATCAGCATCATCATCATTTAACTCGAAGCTCGCCTCGTCGTCATCGTCGTCAGCATTATCCACTGAATTATCTTGTTCTTCTTCGTCATCATCATCTTCTTTGGCGTCGTCAATATCATCGTCATCGTTATTGCTTTCCTTATTAACATTGTTAACAGGATTATCGTCCGCATCGTCGTCGTCGTTGTCAGCGATTTGTACGACCTTGAAGCCCTGCACTTCATGACCATCGCCATTGGTACGTGGACGGGCAAGAAAGATATAAGGATGATTTGATGAGGCGATTGCGGCGCCGGAACGCAGTTGCCTCTGTTGTTGTGGACCCAATCGGGGTTCTGGGAATAAAAAATGTAATTAACTAAGTAAATATGAGTTCTACCACAAGTAATTCTAGGACCCCTCTCCTGAAGTGCTTTACTCGTTTGGCGCAGTTGAATATATTAAATATTTAAATATTTTGAAAAGTTGTTTTGGTTTGTAATAAATTATTTACTTCTTCTGTAAGCTATTGTTTTTTTCTCGAAAAAAGTTGTATATTTTTCCAGCGGCTACTAGCATTTAGCTTATCACATTTGGTCAGGATGAGCACTGTGACAAACTCATCGAGCTCTAAAATGCCTCAACTTTATTGCCACCATTATTGGAAAGCGGATCGCCTGCCGAATAGCTACTCATTTTTGTTATTCAAATTAAACCATTTTTTTAACTCAGTTAATTAAAGTACATTTGTGAATTTTTATGAAATTGTATGCTTTTATTTAAAACCCCCAAACATTTAAGTATTATTACAAGCGAGAGAAGCTCTAACTTGAATCCTTATGAATTCAACTATGACAAAAATTAAGCTATCAACCCTCTCTTTATCTCTACTCTTCCCCTATACGCACCTGCACACGCCAACGCCACGCAGAGCAGCAATGCTGCCACGCTTGTCAATTTCAGCATTCTCACTAGGCTTTTTTTCTGATCTCTTCGCCGATCAATCAATCAATTTAAATTATAGATATTAAATATATCTACCAGAAGACGCAGTACCAACAAAAATTGTCCTAATTGTAAGCAGTGTCCCGCAGAACTGTAACGAGCGCTTTGATCGCTTGACGTTTTTATGCAAAAGTCCGCATATAAGCAGGCAGGCAGGCCACCATATGCCAGAACACTGGACAACGGCCAAGAATGGTCAAAGAACCAAATTAAGTCAAACATATTCAAATGAAAAAGGAAAAAGAAAGATATCTACACGAAAAGTTAAAACATAGCAAACAGCCGAATATCTAACTGGGAACAAATGTAAGAAGACAGTAGAATGCTTACTTTTATTTTTTCAGCATCGAATGTTGGCACCATCTACAGCAAGCTTAGACAGCTGCTTGTCTTCAGTCGGTGTGATTTTCGCGCGTGCTCATGCGCCTACATCTGTTCTTGGTTGGTTGGATGAGTTGCTGTTGATAAACAAAAGTACATAGCCAGCAATCTTTGTCTACACCTCATTACTGAGGCTGATGAAGAAGTTCATAAAAAAAAAACAGAAAAAATTACAAAATAATAGCATTGACTTTTGTGCGTGTGTGTGCTTGTTGGTGTTTAGTAAACACTTGAGCAACTTACCTGTAGCACAATTGTCCAGTTGTAATGTATAGTGGGAATTCAGTTTGGAGATTTTCTTTTTTAAATTTTTGCGATTTAAATAAATATATGTATGTAGAAAGAGCATTCGGAACGCTGGCCGCAGAAGCACTCGTTAGCGATTGCTGCTGGCATCATAGTGACCAAAAATTTACACGCATGATTGCTTATAACCCTAATAGCTAGTGCGAAGAGGTTCAGCGACCTCCACCAAACTCCTTAAGAATAATTGTCAATTCATAGGCTACGTTTTGATACGAGTTGGTTTTTTTTTTGTTGCTTTTGTGAAAGAGTAAATAATACATTTTTAAATATGAGGCGGACAGTTATTTACTGAACGAAATATTTCATTTCGATTGGCCGTCCAATCAAATTCACATTCTTGCAGCAACGATGAAAAGGTGGCAATGTAAAACAAAACTAAGTTCAATGCTCTTGTTAAAAATGTTTACTAATAACGTAATAAAACTAATTGCTTTTTTTAATTTGATATAAAAAAGAAGCGTAATCATATATTTAATAAAGTTATTATCTCAGATGATTGCGTTGTCGGAGTTTATAAAAAGAACATAGAGCGATTTTTACTGCCCCGTTACTTCCTGCCATACAAATTGAAATCTGAGAAGCACTTAACAGCTACATATCTAGTACAACTTTTTTGATTAAGTATGTCAATATCTTTGCCACATAAGAAATAAAATTACCAACAAAAATATCAAAAATGTCAATAAAAATTGGTCACTGACATTAATAGCCGCCCTTAGAGCCGTTTAAGATTACTTTAGGCCTCTTTGTATTTGTTAGTACCCTGCAGGAAATGTATGTATCTAATTATAAGTTTACGTGACGTTGATTATTAGGGAACTAAAGGGAGAAGGACTTGGCTTCACTTGGCATCAGTTGGCACAGAAGAGAAACGACTGGCGTGGTTTGTTAAACTCAGCCAAAATCGCTTAGGCGGTTACAGCGCCAAATTATACTAACATGGGCATAGCCAGAACGAAATTTAGGGGGTCCTCCTATAAAAAAAATGTTCAAAACCAATAATTTTTACTAAAAAATGGTTTATTTTAGCTTAAAATTATTGTAACCAATAGAGGTATGTTGTACAAAAACACATAAATAGAAGTTCATAAAAGTTGATATAAAACTATTCGTCGATTTAAATAATTAACTTATTACTGCACATATTTTTTTTCCGAGGAGGAAGCATCGAAAGCCTAACCCCGTCAGTGTGAGACTTTAACCCAAACTAAACCTCCTACCGTTATGTATCATTCCCCAGTGCGAAAGAAGAAGGATTTGGATCCAATTTTTATTTCTAATGTACAGATAATATATTGGAACTTTTTCAATTACATACATACTAGGGATTTTAATTCTTTCTCTTTTTACGATCCCGGTATTTTCTGGATGTCATTATCACAATTCCGGGGTCCCGGGATCAGTTCCGGGATTTAGATATTCATTACTTTTCAA